AAAAGAGTGGTCCTAGATGGCTAATACAATTTTCACAAGAACTACTATAAAAAAATTCTCAAGATGTGAGTAGACAAATTGGAAGAGGCTATTATCCTCTTACTTCTCCTTGGAACAATAACCACATACTCAATCACGCATACGTAAATAGACAAGCAACTATTTCACTTTGGACAAAAGCAAGATTTAAATGAGAGCCATAAAATATAATTCATTCAAACTGCAGAATCATTTACGATTAACTTCTTTGTAGAAATAACCTGGAATACTGACAGATTTTTTTTTTTTTCCTGGCACTGATATGGTCAGTGATCTTGATACTATATTCAGGAACTCTTTGGAGTCAGCATTGATTTTGGGTGTCTGTCATTTGCATACAACAACACAGACTGCCAGGAAAGCACAGTCTCAGACTACAGATGAAGTGATTCTCTGGAAGCCTAACACACAGTAGTTAGTTTCAGCCTTAAAAGCATTTAGGGCAGATACAGCACCACCAGAATTTACTCGAGGAAGAACACCACCTTATCCTCAGCCTAAGTACAGTTTGCTCAGGGGATTCAGCACCGCCCAGCACGCTCCTCACAAACTGTCACCTTCATGTTACCCTCAAAAAACATTTGGGATACTGAAGCTGCACAATGAAACATATAGAAATCGTAAAACACCAGATTTAAGGCTGTTGCTTCCTGACTGGTTTGTTTTTTCAAACAGGAACCCTGCCTCATCTAAGGCACATGCTTCAACAGCGGTGTACTCCTTGTAATACAGTGCTTAAATTAGACTAAGCTATTAAAATCCTAGGACAAAACAGCCTTTTTTTTTCCCCCTCTATTTTTGCTTTTTCCTCCATCTTATGTTTATTGCACTACTATCTGAAAATGTTATATTTCAGTAATTTATTTTCACAATGTGAATGTTTCCAGACTAATGTCACTATGCAGTACATCACAAGCACAATTCACAGTTGCTATCAGCTTCAGCTGCAAAAGCTTTGCATTCTTTATTTTATAGATGTTCAACCTGAAACCTTACTATTCAATATAAGGATTGCAATTAGTTACTGGTAATAATGATACATATCTTGCTCTTAAGTAAAAAGTAAAATCTAATTCTTCAGCAGCACTTAACTACAGAAACCTTCAGCTGATCATCTTCAACGCTTTATTCAGTTCAGGATGCAACATCAAGCACGTGCAACAAGTAAATTGTGTTCTACAGACCACATTCTTTACGTCTTTAAGGCATTCCTAAAATACAAACCATGCTGAACAGCAAGTTTTTTAAGAGGGGAAAAAAGAGAATGTGTTAATGGAATTACAACCTGTCAATTCAAATATGGAGATATATCCGACATTAAAAAATTTGGTCCATATATCATTTGGTACTTATGTTCCCATTGGTATTTTAACAAAGGCTAAGATCACAAGCCTACTGTGAAGAGAATCTGGGGGAATAACAGCTGCTCATCTCTAATAGCAATCATGTAACTTGAGCAATGTCATTTTAATATTTTCAAGGAACAAAGGAAAACATTTTGATGACAAGGTAGGATATCTTAAACCTAACACTCCCATGTACGATATGTATCCTTTTCCAAAAATCAGAACCTCAACATTTAAATCAGTCACATAACCTTA